AGGCCATAACTGCATATAATTTTGGGAAGGGTTAGTGACTTGTGAGACCTCTTTCCTAATAATCTTGAACTGTGATGGCAAGGGGTGGTTGTGAAGCCACATGAGTCCCTTCTCTATGACGAAAAGTTAATAGGCCCAATCTTGTTCAGAGATAATTCCAGAAGACAGTGATCAAGTCATGCATGAAGGACAGTGTCCCAAGACACCTTTTCAATTATTATTGTAGATATAGATGCAGTCATGGTGTAGGGAGTTTTTGATATTATGTAATCACCTCTTACAATCAAAAATATTTATGACTGTCTTAGTTAGGGTTCTTAATCCAGTAAAGGGTTACCAAGACCACAGCAACTCTTATCAAAGAAAACATTTAATTGGTTGGCTTACAGTTCTGAGGTTCAGTCCATTATCATCATGATGGGACATGGTGGTCTGCAGGCAGACATGGTGCTGGAGGAGGAGCTGAGAGTTCTACTTCTTGTACAGGCAACAGGAAGTGAACTGATTCACTGAGTATAGCTTGAGCATATATGAGACCTCAAAGCCTGCCTCCACAGTGGCACACTTCCTCCAGTAAGACCACACCTACTCCAACAAAGCCACACCTCCTAATAGTGTCACTCCCTTTGGGGGGGCCATTTTCTTTCAAACAACCACAATGACTATTATTTGAGACCTCCCACAACACTAATGGAAGAGTTGCGTTAACAGTTTTAAAGACGAATTCATCACTAATCTAAAAGTAACTATTAGCAAAAGGAAGCCGCAGGGCAGTCAGTGTGGTTCCATGTGAGGTCTCCAAGCAATTCAGGAGAAAGAATACTTTCACCTAAGGTCTCTAGCAAATTCCCCACTTCTACCTTTAGCCCTCCTTAGTCCTGGCATAGGACACTTACTTCCATCTGAACTCCTGGCTTCTATGTTACAGATGCAGATGTAACAATTCTCTTCAGTGATTGCTATTGTGTTACAATAGGTCTATGGGGGAAAAGCCAGGTTTCAAGAAATTTCTTTCCTTTTTACCTTTTGCAGTTATTTACTATGTGTGTGGAAGAAGGTGCCCATGTCATCTGTGTTTTCGGGAGCTGTTCCTTCTTTCCTTCCACCATGTGAGTCACTGGGCTCACATTCAAGTTGTCAGGGTTAGAAGCAACTGTCTTGGTCTATTGAGCTATCTCACCAGCCTCGAGCAATTGACCTCTACAGAGATATTGTTTCTGTGGGCAGCTGTCAGGGCCGCAGTCAACGCCTCCTGGAAGACCAAGTAACCAACTCTATATTGACATTTTCTTACTAAACTTGACAACTAAACAAACTCCTTGGCTCATACTCATACCTGCAAATGTGACTGATCTCTGTCTAAATATCTGGGTTGCCATCATTACCGGAGAACAGACTTTGGGGAAGGGAACTCACCAATAGTGTTCTGAGCAAAGACTTATTAGTGTGACTATCTTTTTACCCTGGTAACTTTTGTTAGTATTTTCTTAGCAAGTTCATTGGTATTTGAAGAGTTTCTTGATTTCAAATTTTAGCAGAAGCACTCCGTTAGCATTAATTTCATTAGAGTGTCCAAGACATGGTCAGCATCTGCTCAGGCTCTTTCTATATACAAGGCACATTCCAGGCAGTGTGAAGACGTATCATAGAAGGCCAGAAGACTGGCCCTAATGATGTGAGTATAAGAGAAAAATAGGAAAAAGAATAGAATTGCTTCACAATAGCATGTGACTGGTCCCTAAGTGAATGATGGAGATAGTATGGTTGTTTGTACATTCATAACTGTAAGCAATTTCAAGACAGTAACTTACCCTGTAGGTACAGAGGTGACTTTTGAGTGTGTTCGTCTATGACTTTTGTGCTGTGATGTGTTCTTTTCCTTTGGGCTTTTCTTACAGTCTTCTGTTATGGTAGGATGCTGAATGAAACTTTTGATTTTGGTTCATCGATTAGTACACAATACTGGTCATTCAAGATGAAAATAAAGACTCTACCGGGGTATAAATATTTAATCACAGATGCTTTTTATAATGCTTCTGTAGTCAAACAAGGTCATCATCACTGGGTCATGAGGAGAGAGACATCAGAGAAAGCCTTGTTCGAAAAGATGAAATTAAAAATATCTCTGCAGACAGCATCATCTTATATGTAGAATTTCCCAAGTAAGGATGGAAGAAATCACTAGAACCATTAATGAGTTAGCAAGATGACACAGGACTTGAGATCAATATGCAGAAATTAACTGTGTTCCTGGTAATGGACCATCCGAAAATAAAATTAAGAAAATAATTCCACCCATGAAACATCAAAAAGAATAAGTTGAGACTATAAAGGTTTTCCACTGAACATTATGAGATATCAGTGAAACAAATTAAAGAATGAATCAGTAGAAAAGCAACACATGTTCATGCATGGAAGACAATATCATTAGGAGAGCAATCATCCCCCAACTGTTCTGTGCATTAAATGGAATTGCTATTAAAATTGAGTTACCTGGGGTGTTTTGATTTTTTTTTGTTTGTTTGTTTTTTGGTTTGGCTTTTTTTCTTTTTGTTTTTTTGGGGTTTTTTTTTTTGGTTTTTTGTTTGTTTGTTTGTTTATTTGTTTTGTTTTGTTTGCTTCTTTTGCAGAAAGGCGATTATAAAATTACTTTGGATATTCCCTTTGGGGGTTTAAGGGAGCCACAATGACCAAAATCTGTTCTTGAACAATCAAGGAACAAAGCTGAAGGAACCGACATTTCCTGATTTCAAACTTGTCAAAGTTGACCTAATGACAACTGTTAGGTCACACTCAGGATGAGCACAGATTGATAGCCCAGTAGATTGTTGGTAAGCTTGACAAAGAAAGAGAAAGCCAGTCACTAAATATTGCTGGGACAACTTGATAGCTGCCTGCAAGTGGACATGACTAGGCCTGGACCAACGTGACATAAAGAATGGACTGAAGATCTAAATTGTTAGGGGTGATGTGTAAAACCCTGAGAAGAAAACAGCTCTGTATCTGATGGGGTTGTCTAACACAGGTCTCAGAGCACAAGGAGCCAAAATAAAATGGGATCCAAGCAAAACTTAAAACTTTTAGACTTCTCAGGAACCTGAGTGAAAAGACAACCCAGAGAATGAGAGAAAAAAATTGCAATTAATTTCTCTATTAAATAAAGAGAAGATATGAGCGCAGCACTCTATAAATGAATCAATAAGAAGGCAGATCAACTTGACAATGTAAAAAACGTTAAATATACATTTCTACAAAAGAAATAGAAAGTGGCCAACACACACACACACACACACTCACCCTTATTGGCCACTGGGGAGATATAACTTAAAACCACAATGAGATAGCACTTCACACCCACTGGGATGTTTATAATAAAAAAATGAACACACAGAAACAGGCAGTTGCAAAGGTTGGCAAGGATGCGGGGAAACTGGACCGCTCGTGTGTTGCTGATGGAGATAAAAGCAGTGCAGCTGTATTGAAAACAGTTTGGCAGCTGCACAGAACACTAGACATTAAGCTGTTGTGGGTCCAGCAGCTCCATGTGTATGCATGTGTGTATCTAAGAGAATTTGAAACACATGTCCACACACTCAGGTACGCACATCCCCACAGCAGTGTTACTATGGAGCATGATCCATGCGTCTGCCAGTTGACGTGTAAGAAGAATCCAGCTTGTCCTTGCAATGCAGGGGTGCCCAGCCGTGTAAGAGGGTGCAGTATCGAGTCACTCCACGGCCCTGCTGATACTGGAATGTGCTCTGCTAAGGAAAAGTCAGACGTAAAAGACACGGGTTTTGTCTCGTTTACATGATTTTTCTAGAACCCTTTAGGTAATGCCATGAGACGGGAAGTATGTAAATGGTTCCAGGGGCTTGGGATAGGGTGGGAAAATTGAAATGATTGCTAACAGGTATGAGGTTCTCCTGTTAGTCATGACAGTTTCCTGGGGCTTATGGTAGTGAGGCTTTTATAATGGGGATCTACTAAAAAGAAAGTCCTTAAATTGTTCTGTTTATACGTTTGATTTTAAATATGAACAAAGGAGGCAAGACCACACTGGGGAAACCCCCAGAATCAGCTCAGCTGACCTGAGCTAGTGAGAGATCACGACTCCGGTCTGACGGGGAACCAGCATAAGACTGAACTAGACTCCCTTAATATAGGTGACAATGGTGTGACTGGGACAATATATGAGCCCATGGCATTGGGTCCAAGGTCTAACTGTAATGCACAAACTGACTTAGTGGAGCCCGTTCTATAAGGAGAGATAGCTTGTTCTGCCTAGCCAGAGGGGTGTGTGTCATGGGGAGGTGCCTTGGTCCTGGCACCTCCCCATGATGGGACAGACTTAGTAGATTTCCTAGGGGAGGCCTTTCCATCTCCGAGGAGCAGATGGAAGGTGGGGCGTGTGGGAGGAGGGGGAACTGGGATTGGAATGCAAAAAATAAATTAATTTAAAAAAGGCAAAAAAAAAAAAAGAGTTCGATTTTATGATGTATGAGTCCTATATCATTTTTGCTTGTAGTTGCCTGAGGCAGGGTACCACTCTATAAATCCAGCTACCCTGTTAGACCAGGCTGGCTTGGAACACACTGAGATCCTCCTGCCTCTGCCTCCTGAGTGCTGGGATTCAAGGTGTGCGCCACCACCGCCCAGACACCAGTCTCTAATGTTTCTATGTTTTCCTTGATTAAGTTGATCTGATAAAAGCATGCCTGGCAAAACAGCGCTTCTATTAAAGCACTTACCCCGAGTTGTGCTTTGGCGGTCAGTTCATGATCAGTCTTTAAAGACTTCGTGAAACGTGTTTAGTATCAAGTCTGAATGAGTGTGGGTAGATCCGCTCTCTGAACGTATTAGGAGGGGCTGGGGAGCAGCCCCTCGCTTCTTCTCTTCCGTGTGCTTGACAGAGACCCTTTTCAAGTACACGCCCAACGTTTGTGTTGTCACCTGCGGGAAGACTTGCATTTTCACCCGCATCTCTCTTCTCCTTCCAGGTCCTTCCTTTCCCCAGCCAGGTGGTGTACAACAGGGTTGGCAAGTGTGGCAGTCGCACCGTGGTCTTGCTGCTGAGAATCCTGTCAGAGAAACACGGGTTCAATTTGGTCACGTCAGACATTCACAACAAAACCAGGCTTACTAAAAATGAGCAAGTAAGTTGACTTCTCCATGGCTAAATCACGTAATTAGCGGGCACGTTATGGCACATCCTTCTTCATGGCAAAGGTTTAATTGCATCCTGTATTTTTTTGGTCAGGGTGTAGAAAGAAATTTAAGGTAGGATTTGTGCAGGAAATCAGAAGCCCAGGAAGCCTTCATAAGTGGATACTTCTGGCGGGCATGATGGACTGTGTATGTTATCCATGGTCTATTTTGCTAAGATAGATAGCAGGTACTCGCAAAATCTTTAAACCACTGAATTAAATACATGATGCTAACACCTTCGGAGTTAAAGGAGAAATTTTTCTTTTAGCATTTCTTCCTTTGCATTTCCTCATCTGTCGCCTAAGTCTTCATAATAAAGAGCTGTTCTCTGTGCAGGAAGTGTCACATTTGTCATATTCAGTGGAAGCAAAAGAATCCCCTACTTTGCAAAACAGCTCCACACAGCTGGCCATGCCTATAGCAGGATGATGGTACTGCTGTCTGCTGGGAAGCTGCATAGGCTTGCTCTTCTTTGTAAACCCCTTGGACAGTTAGTGACAACCGTATCCATGATGCCGCTGCTGTGGGAGGCCTGGGCGCTATATTCTCAGTGGTCTTTTCACAAGATAAGAGTTCATTGTCAACTTGGTTATCAGTTTCTTTTGTGATAAAATATCCCAACCAAAGCAACTTAAAAGGGAGAAAGGGGTGGCTGGAGATATGGCTCAGTGGTTAAGAATGCTGACTGCTCTTCCAGAGGTCCTGAGTTCAATTCCCAGCACCCATATGGTGGCTCCCACTCACCAGTCATATATAATGAGATCTGGCACCCTCTTCTGGCCGACAGGTTGTACACATAATAAATCAAAGGAAGAAGGGTGTGTCATTAGCTTACGCTTACTTTGGTTTCTATTTCCAGAGAGGATAGTGACATCATTGCAGAGAAGTTATGATGTCAGGGGCATGAGGCTGCCAGACACAGGAAGTGGGACCAGGCTATGAAACTTGATAACCCACTCCCAGTGTGGGAACACTCTGCCTCCTAAAGGATCCACAGCCTTCCCAGACAACTCCACCAGCTGGGGACCCAAGTGTCCAAACACATGTGACTAGGCGAGACATTACACATTCAAGCCACAACCTGGCATCAAAGAAAAAAAAAAAAAAGCTTCCATCACTCTGGAAGCATAGGGTACCCACTAGTGGTGCTTATTGCCAAGTGGAGATCATAATAGTGAAATCTCAGCATGCATCCATTCTTCAGACATCATCTTCCCCTTGGAGGCACAGGGAACCTTGTAAACAGAGGGGTGTCATTCCTGATTTAAAATAAATCAAAGGGATTATTTTAAGGGCCTATTGTAAATTCTCTGTAGAAAAAGAAAATGTTTAGGCTGGGCCAGTGCTCAGAAATATGAGGACCTGAGTTCAGATTCCCCAGCACAAACCCAAAAGGATGAGTACACACAAAAGGTCTGTGTCCCCTTCACTGTGTATGCTGAGACAGGTGGAGCCCGGGATCTCACTGGGCATCCAGAGCTGTCAACCTAGAGAGCTCTGGGTTTACTGAGGTCTCAAGAAATAAGGCGGGGGGGTGGGGAGATGGCTCCACAGGCAAGAGCGCTTGCTTCTGTGTAAGGACCTGAGTTTGAACCCTCGAACCTCTGGAAAGATGTGCAAGCCTTACAGATACTTTGTAACACTGCTGTGACAAAACGGGGAGCAGAGACAGAATTCTCCACAACTCCAGGGCAAGCTAGCTTGGCATATGCTGCTGAAAAAAGAAAGGGAGGGAGGCAGGGAGGGAGGGAGGCAGGAAGGGAGGGAGGAGCCTAGCAGAGAGCCTATGCAGCATACGGTATAAGGTGAAGATTCTTGAGGTTGTCCTCTGACCTCCATGTGTGCCATGGCTCTCAAGACACACACACACACACACACACACACACACACACACACATCCCTGTGTTCACACACACAAATGTGCATACACATACACACATTTTTTTAAAAAAAAAAATAATAATAAGGTGGTAATGGACTGAGAAAGACCGAAGCTGAAGTCCATAAGCATGCTCATACACATGGACACATAATACGAATACCCATGCATACATACATAACACAAAGAATGGAAAGAAAAGTGTGTGCAGCATTTAAAGCTATGAAGCTGGGTTTGGAAGCGCGTATCTCAAGTCCCAGCATTAGGGAGGCAGGGGTCAGCCCCTCTATGAACTGAAGGCCAACCTGATCTATGTAGTGAGCTGCAGGCCAGCAAGGGTTACGTGGTAATACCCTGTCTAGAGAAAGCAAGGACAAGTAGAGAGAGAGAGAGAGAGAGAGAGAGAGAGAGAGAGAGAGAGAGAGAGGGAGAGAGAGGGAGAGAGGCAGAGAGGGAGAGAGAGAGGGAGGCACACCATGTTTTATGCATAAATTGTTTAATAGTGTCAGGATTCCTTTGATTCCCTTACTTTGACCGATTAAGATCTTTTTACCATCCAGAAGAAAATGGCTATAAATAAATAGTCTGTGTTCTTATAATTTTATTATGGTTATTAAATTTTACCTTCCTCTGTATCCAAGCCTTAGGGCTGCTTATCAGATTATACTTAAGTGTTCCTATATGTGCGCGCCATGCAGAATTCCCGGATGTCTTGTTAGACTAAACCCAGGTGTTCACTGGTGGAGGCGTGCGACAGCCAAAACAACACAGAGGAGATTGAAGGATCAGACACCAGAATGTTCAGGACACCCCAGCGGAGAGAACAGGAAACTCCAATGTGGAATGCACTGCGAAAGTTTTGACTAGATAAGCCTACTTTGTTCCCTGCTTTAAGTATCAGGAATGAATCTAGAGCTGTAACTGTGAATGAAATAATTTAAATAAAATGTTAGCAAAAAATACACTGACAGCGAATAGGTGGTTAGGTCTGGTAGAGATTAAGAACAACGGTGTCACCCTTCCCCTCTGAAGGGAAAGCTCTCATCTGTCTGGAATGGTTGGCTTGTCAGGAAGCCAGGGGATAGGCAAGACAATCATTATGTTCTTTCCAGCACTGTGGTTCTGCGATATATTAATACAGCTTCTAGACTATTCCATGTATTATGGTTCTGATTCCTGTGGCCAGTGTGTCCTAGACTGTATTTCATCGCTTATTGCAGATTCCTATTAAATTATAAGTGTTTTTTAAAAAAGCCAAGGTAAAGACTTGGAAGGGAAGACGGATACACAGCCTGATGTAAAATTAAAGATGAGGATGGTGCCCGTTGCTCCCCTGGAGCCAGCTTACCTGGCTCCTGCACGCAAGAGCCTGGCAAAGATGTACAATGACAAAAGCCATCATCCCTCCATCTCCACGGTGCTCCAAGCGGATCCCTTTCCCTAACATTTCAAAGTACATATGGCAGCAGAAAAAAGGAATATTATTGTAGCTTAACATCCAGGAAATAATTTGTGGTATTAATAGCTTCTCTTCTTGGTAATTTATTAAAGGGAAAAGGGCAGTGTGATTTAGGAGACTAGTTAAAATTTTATAGTCAGGGGATCTCTAGAAATTGTTCCCATGGAAACATTGTTTTCTCTAAATAATAAAAGTAATTGTTTTGCTTCAGGTACTGTAGGGGTTAAACAGTTTCATGTGTTCTGGGCCAAGACTCTTTTCACATTTTTTTTCCATGAGAAAACGTGTTCCGTGATCCAAACCACTGACTTACAAATGAACTTCAAAACTATATCCATTTATAGGACTGCCATTCTCTGTACCGTTTCCTTCACCCACAAGGCATTTCCCTGGGCCAGGGTTAAATGAGCACATACATTTCCCCCTAAATGGTAGCTGTCCTTACATGCACACGTGCACATACATGTGTAAGCATACACCTGCACATTCACAGGGTAGGGTTAAAACTTTCTAGCCTAAGGGATTATTAAGCAAGAAAGGAGCATGAAGACACCAAATGTTAGAATGCCTATAAAAACTCCACTACATCTGCTCTCAAAGAGACAGACACACCTTTGAAATCTGTGCTTTGAATAATTTCTCCTCCGCAGAAGAGCTTGCAACCGATGCTAGCCCTATTGGACTTCTGCACTGCATGTAGCACAAACTCATGAAGATATTGTTTCATCTGTAACCTTGACAGAGATTTCAGTTAGGGGCTTGGTTTAGCCGATCTCTTGGAGAGTGGAACTTCTGTGTAGTGTGAGTGATGGCCAAGAACCCTCAGAGCCTGTTGGCTCTCGGGACAGTGAAGGTCGGAGTGCCACAGGCCTCTCAAAGGTAGTGGAATCCACAGTTATTCTAGTTGGAGAAAGGCAAAAATCAGCCTCTGAGCCTCAAGGATTAGCAAAAGCTAATAACGTCAGTATTCATTTTTTTCTACTGGCGAGCCTAGAGGTTGTATAAAACAAATGGGAAGCAATACCTACGCATAAATTGTTTCCCCTGATTATGTCATTTAACCATTTGGGACCAAAAATATACCAGTGAGTAAGTGTCATTCCCTGTTCATTTTCTGGGTGAGAAACTGAGATGATTAGTCACCTTCCAAAAATAATTATACTGAACTGATTGGGTCTGACGGCTGCGCTGGACCTGGGCTCTCCCAAATCCAAAGTCCGTTCCCATAATGCAATGGTTGATCTCCAGCAGAGCTTCTGGAAGCCTACAGTCTCTGTGCCCTTCTGCTGGAAGGGGTCCAGAAAAATTCCCTTTCAAAAAAAATTAAGTGGCATAGGCAGTTTTTCTATGATGTAGTGTCCAGGCTGAGGAAGCCCTATCAGAATCCTGTGTCAGCGTTTCTCCTAAATGTGTTCCTTGTGACTCCAAGCTCCCTCCGTCGATGAAGACCGGAAAGTGCACGGCTCATAGTTGGGGAGACTCTCATTAATCATTCACGCTTTAAAGATTGACACGTCTTAACATACGTGTATGTGTGCTTTATGAGTGTGTTTGCATGTTCACATGTGTGCGGGCACACTTGTGTGCAAGTGCTGATGACCATGTGTGTG